CAGGTACATGTTTAGAACCATCCTGAATGGCTTCATATTCTGCTTGTTCCCTTCTCTAATGCATCTTCCAATCCTGAATTTCCCTTCATCTGTTACAAACAGGGAACGAAAATATATCAGAGTTTTCTTCTAGTTAAGTTTCATGCAACAACAGAAAGCCGAAACAATATCAAAAAGAGTAAAATACCAATTGATTCAGTGGTGGAAGAACTCTGAAATTAAAAGGAATAGAATAATTGTTCCTTCTTCATCTTCACCTAAAAGATTAGATGGAATTGAGTAAGTCTTCTGAAAGTCTAGGGCGCACTTATATAGAAGTCTAGGGCGCACTTATATAGAAGTCTAGGTATCCTAGAGACAGGACGAAGGAAAAATCGATGTCAGTGTGGGGAAACTTCCTTAATTAAGACTCTGACCTACACGCTTTTCCTAGCTGTCCATTTCTGCATAATTTCCACATTCGACGAACGTTAATGTTGCTTTCCACGTGAGTGGCTCACGTCACCAGCTGTTTTTTGGATAGCTCATATACTAACACTTTTAACATATTAACTTCTAATCATTGTATTTTTTTTAAAAAAAAAACTAACATTAATGTTATTTGAATACTTTAATATTATTTGAATAATAATAAATGAAACTAAAATTTGAAATTAAATTATAAAATTAATAATATGATATAAATTATGTTATTTAAAATATGAAAAGATAAATTTTATATTATTTAATGATTATTTTTTTTGTTTTCTAAATATATAATATTATATATATTAACTAATTTAATAATGTAATATAAATTATATTATTGATTTTAAATTTTCATCCTAAATTTAACCTCCCTATCATTACTTATATTATTTATACTCCCAACAGTCTGATACCTAATCAATCATTCTAGAGTCATTGAACTGTCAATTCTTAAAAAATGTAAAACGAGTAATATTTCTATATTTTATGAAGTGGTCAAAACCTGCGCACATGCCTTGATAATTTGGAATAAGTAATGATGGAGGGGACGAAATCGAAGATGATTTTGGGAGACAACAAATGATGGGAGGATTCATGCATGTGTGTAATTATTAATTTAACCCCTGCATAACTTGTCGTTTTTCAAAATCATCTCCCGATTCCGTCCCCCATCATTACTCATTTGGAATTGAAGTGCATTCAAATATCATCACCACCTATATCTCGGCTAACAAGTGGGGGCTGACTTTGGTCATTGATGAATTGTCCAAGTCTCCTTTTTGTTCTTGTTGGCTAATTAACCCTTTTCGAGTCTTCGTCACGACAAGCATAAATTGTTGGGAAAATGGGATTCCGTTTTTTAGACGTTGATTATTGAGGAGACAGGAAGTTTTTGTAATTTCTTAATTATTTATGCCTATAATGATGTTTTAAGTAATTAAAAATTAAAAATTTAAATCTTAATACAAATGTTAAAAAATTAAGAAATGAGAATATTCATCTTAATACATAATTTATCATGTAATGTATCAAAAAAATAAAACAAATAATATTCCTATGTTAATTAGATACTCTATGGACTATGAAGTAGTCAAAGTCAGTACCTACCTTAATAATTTGGAATGGGAACGCACTTGCATGTGTTCGAATGTATATCATCAATCAGTATTCATAGGTCGGCTAGCTACCAAAGTAGGGGATGACTTTGGTATTTAATGACTTGTGTAAGTCTTTTCCTTTTGAGGTTATAAAGTACCTCTTTCTGTCATGAATAGCACCGACTGCGGGGAAAATGGGATTCCATTTATTCGATGTTGATTATTCCTTCACTGACTCAAGGAGAAAGGAAATTTTTGTTATTTCATATTTATGTTTGAACGTTCTAAATGGTTAAAATTTTAATATTTTAAATTAAAAATTAAAAATTTAAATTTTAAAAAAAAATTTAAAAAAATGAGATAAAGAATGAAAGGGTTATCAACACATAACTCATCATCTAATTATACAAAAAAAAAAATGACTCAATAATTAAAAATTTAAAACTTTAAATTAAAGATTTTAAATTTTGATTTTGAATTAAGTGAAAAAAAATTTAAGAATAAAAAAAATTATTTTTTTATATAATTCATTACTAGATGTATTAAAAAAATATCAAAAATAAAAAAATAAAAAAAATCCTATTTCTGTAGCGGTCCCCAACACAGCTGACTCCTGGACCAGCGGGAAACGAGTCAACTTGGAGGAATTCTAGAATATCACGGTGATACCACTGACGTGGTATCCCGCTCCAATAAAAATACAACAGCTCAGCCCGCTTAATACACGTCATAAAAATGTAACGGAAGATGAAAACCTACCTCCGTCAACATTGAACGGTGATAAATCGTCCACGTGCGAAAAATCACTTTTCCCGCCTTTCCTGGCTTTCTCAATTTATTTTCTTTCTTTTTTTTTTTTTTGCCATTATTTTCTTTCCTTTTACTCCTCTGCTTTAAGATTTGTTTGTACTATAAAAATCAAATGATTCAAAATTAATCGAAACTTGGAGCTGGTAATGCTTTCTCTTCTTCCTCCCCTGACAATCAATTCTGAATTTAATCGTTTGATAGTTTTTTTCTTGTAAAAAATATCTTTTGAGCAGAAGACATTCTATTTAATTATTTATTATTATTTTTTGTTTTAAAATAACAGATTTATTTATTTATTTATTTTTAAAAAATAATAAAAATAAAAATTATTTATATAAACATAAAATTAAAATGCAATTATCATTATAAAACGAAAAGAGTATTATTTTTATGGGTTATGAAACAAAATTTTAGAACTAAATATATGTTAACCTTGGTTGTAACGTAGGTCCGTTTATGTCCTTATCAATGGCTTGGTAGCCTTGGTTACAGCATTTTCTACTAGAATGCTCATTCTTTCACTTGAAATTTCTATAAAACCTATTCCCTTATAGTTATGTGTAGGCTGCTAATCTAACATTTTCACCTCAGCCACAAAAGAAAGGAAAACCCAATTATTAGGATCCTTGTACTGAAATTTGCACTTAACAAGTTTTAGTATAAATGTTTGCATTTATTAGCTTCAGTCATTTGAAGCAAAAGTGTTCCAATTTATTATAATTTGAAATGATAAATGAAAGAAACGCACATCGAGTAATATAATTCATGATATAGGATCAAATAAGATGAAATGTTATTAATGGTAAATTGTACTTTGTTCATTTGAACCAAAAACAAATTGATCCCCCAAGCAACAATAAAATAAAAAAGAAAAAGCTCAATGGCTACATAGATCTATTTCACAATTTGCAGCAACTATCATTTAAGTCACTAGTACTCTAAAATTATGGATTGTTCTATCATAAAAACAAGTCTCAAGCCTCTACGGGAAAGGGAAAGGATCTATGTTCATTGGAGATGATCTTGTACCTTCTTCAAGAGTCTCTTTGGAATTGCATAACACCTTGGCACAAGTTTTAGTCCACATTCTCTCCTTTAATTAGAACAACTTTGTGTAAACCTTAATTTACGACAATGAGAGGCAGCAGATTTGATGGACTTCAACACATTGCATCAGACTTCCCAAGTTCTGAACCTTTATCTACAACCTTGCAAAAGAAAGCATTAAGCATGATTAAATAATAAATGAATGGATAAATGAAAAATGAAATTGGCATGTACAATAACATCAATATGCAAGACATTGTTGTTTTGATCGAAGTCAGCCTCAACAATCCGTGAAATAATTAAATCAATCCCCTGCTTTTTTTTTCATCTATATATATACTTGGAATTGTATTATATTCTTATTCAGTAGCGAGAGAGCTAGAGCGGCATATAGGACAAAACACAAGAAATTAACATAAAATATGAATCTTGGCAACTAAAAACTGGGAATTTTACAATTATATTTCATTGAATCTGAATTAATTCAATTTTTGGAAGAAGAAAAAGAAAATTAAATTTCTAATGCAAGAACTTGTTAGGTGATTTTATCAATTTGTCCTGACTTATAGCACATTGTTGAAATTCTCTGAAGGAGTATCAGCAAACTCAAAAAGGCTCGTAAATTTAGAGAGGCAAGAAATATAAATAGAATCATAAATAATTATTAATTAGTCTATTCTCTAAAATTAAAACCTAAAAAAAGGATAGAAAGCAAAAGGGGGAGAAGAGGGCCTAACAAAAATTTTCTTTGGGCTTACCAACTAAGAGACAGTGTCAACGGAAATCGTATCATCAAAAAGATTTATTTCCCAATTTCAGAAAACTTTCCAGTTGAATGAGACACAAAATTGCACTTTGCTCCAAAATATAGTGCACTGTAAATTCAAGAAACAAGAAACTACCATTAATTACAAGTAAAAATGAAAGTACTTCGATAAAATTGTGATGTAGATGGAGAGGAAAAGGATGGTGAACTCGAAAAGGGAAAATTTTCTGGATCGGGTGAAATGAAAACGTTATAGCATGAAACGATTGCGCCATGACCGTTCGCCTCGATGCCTGCTGCTTACCCATGAGAATCTAAGATGGAGAGGAACGAAGTCCTCTAAAAAAAGAGGAAATCTTCTAACCCTAACTTTGGGTTGGGACATTAATCTCTGTTAATGTTGATGGAGATTTGTGCCTTCTATTAAATTTCATCTCCCGTTACATTTTGATGACGTGTATTAAGGGAGTTGAGCTGTTGTATTTTTATTGGAGCGGGATACCACGTGAGTGGTATCACCGTGATATTCTAGAATTTCTCGTCAACTTGAGGCTCAAGTCCATGAACAAATCTATCCAACAAAAGCCCAAATCCAAATAGGGAAGAAAAACGAATGAGTCTTGGCTCAGGTGATATAAATTCCTGAAGTGGCCCGAGAATTGTTGTGGGTCGGGACTTGGGAGACAGGATCGGGCTCAAGCGTCAACAGTGGCACAAGAATCATTCTTTGTTTGTTCAGTGCTTTCACAACTATAACAATCTCTTGGAATCTCCCATGAATATATTATTAGACCCTTCTCTTTCCTGTTAAGTTATAAACAAAGTTAAACAGCTGAGAGTACAAAGCACAAACATCACCGCCAAGAACCAGCTATAACGTCACCCTTGGTAGGCTGGTACCTCCTTTCCTTCTATGTGTTTTTATTTTTATTTTTATTTTTTGTTGCATAGGTAGAGAAGGGTACATCTCTAACTCTGGATATCTCTCTCAGTATTCTAAAGCTTTTAACTTTCTGGTGTGGAACTTGAGAAGAGCATATATGCACAATCATTTTTATCTGATATGTCTCAAAATTTTGATATGTCATTAATTCCCTATGAGTTAACAATAGATTTTTGACAGAATAACTAAATTGGGACCAAGTTGGTAAACAGTAAAAATCAAGAATTTTTTAAGTTTATAGACCAAATT